TGTGGAACATTGAACTCACTCTCGTAGGCCAGGGACATGAACGACCTGCCGTCATCTTGCTCCAAAATCATGGCTGGTATTGGTAATCTAGAAGACAATGCAACCCACATCCAACTGGATCAAATCTGTGAGGTTACCACTAGCACATGTGCTATTAAACATATATATCAGAGTACTTAGGACAGATTTTTTTAAATTTAAAAAAATTTGAGGTTTGATTGCAGGGAAAAGAGAAACTATTTGAGGATAAAAACTGAATCCTAAAAATGATGAGCCTGAGGCAAAGTGTCTTTGTTGTCCAGGGAATACCGGGAGGGGCTTTGGCAGGGGTGATCAGCTTCTCTCATCTCACCTCTCACTTTTCTCCCAAAACAAAAAATAACAAGATCTATCTGACAAAGTGCTATTCCAATTTTCTCTTAATCAGCAATTTCTGGTCTTCCCTAGACACGGGATGAACTCAGAAATGACATACCCATGAAAAAATGATTAACTCCACCCGGTCGTGGTGTGAACATGGTTTGTTTTGCAATGTATTGCTCCACTGTGAGCAAAGCTCCACCCCAACCAACTTGTGGACTGTTAACCCAAATAATGCTCTTGGCTTTTGGAGCTGGATGTTCTTTGTTTCTTCCTCTCTCTTTGACCTTTAGAAAATACCACACATACTGGTAGACACAGTCCTGTTTTTCCATGTGAGAGTCTGTGTGTGTGTGTGTGTGTGTGTGTGTGTGTGTGTGTGTGTCTGGTAGATCTGTGATATGTCTGACTCTTGCCTTTTTATTCTAAACACGTTTTCTTGCATGAAGGGTAATCACGGATGTAAGGTGATTAAACTTACAAATTAATAAAAATTGATGCTAAAAATACCCCTTAAATTAAATGTCTTATTTTTACTAAAGACACAAAGCTTTTAAACTGGGACCCACTTCGTAGCATATTTATCTTTGACCATAGATTGGTAGCACAGTGTCAGTGTGGACTCCTAGTAATTCAAAATCAAATTCTAGGGGAAATGTGTGAAAGGGCGGAGGGAAGATTTTTACCAGATGGATATTGGGAGGGGCTCCAGAGAAGTCACAAGGATATGCTGTTACTTCTGTCTTCAGCAGTGATTCACTCCGGCCTGTCCAGCCGATGCCTAGCAGTGATGTGCACAGGCTGAGATCAAGGGCTTTGGGCTCAGTGGGGTTTTCTGACTCACTGATGTCACATTTCATGACTTTATTCTTCATCATTTCAATTTAACTGTTTAAGAAAACATCAGTGGAAACTGCCTTATTACTAACAAATCTTTGATTATTATAAGTTTATTGTAACATGGGATGGCAGATTTCGAGGTCAGCAAATACTCTGCCTGGATTACTTTTACCTTATGCAAGTCTGAAATAGGCTAACGCTAATAACTACCCCAGTTTTCCTACTGAGGAGCCCATTATTTTGTCATGTTACTGAACCACCTAACACTTTACTGGAAATAAATGCACTGGACATTTCTAAATTTTATTATTTAATTATTTCTCCTAAAATAATGAACAAAAAAATTATTATAAGCTTTGGAATACAATACTAATTGTTTCAGGAGGTAGTTCACTAACACATAGCTACATTATTTACTTAGTTCCCTCCCTCTATATTAGTCTCTTTTGCATTGCTACAACAAAAAACCTGAGGCTGGAAACTTAACAGACAAAAGAGGTTTGTTTCACTCACAGTTCTGGAGGTCCAAGAGCATGGTGCTGGCATCTGCTTGGCTCTATTGAAGACTTCATGGCAAATTGCACCACAATGATGACAGCGTGTGCAGAACAAACCCCTTGAAGAGACTAAAGCCAAATGGTAGCCAACACAGCCAGGCCTGCCTTATATCAACTCATTCTCATGAGAGTCACTCCACTCAGAGACCACAATAATCCCTGCCAAGGCCAAGGCCGAGCCCATCACCTGCTCATCTCCCAGTGGGCCCTGCCTCTCGAAGTTTCCTTCTCCACCCTGGGGACTAGGTTTCTAGCACTTGAACCTTTAAGGGGCAAACTATATCCAAACCACAGCAGGAAGGTCTGACTTAGACACTCTGTAAGCAATGTGAAGGGAATAAAGCTGCATGTGAATGAATCCTCCCACCACTCCCCTCTTTAACCAGAGGCAAGGCCCACTACACCCTCATTCCTTCTTCTTGCTGCAGTAAACGCGATTAAGTCCCACTGCCTGCACCAAATAGTATGGTCATCTGCAACATCTTTCACTAACGCTCTGTGTGGCTCTCCCTGACCCCTTACACACTTAGACCCAGGCAGTGGTGTCTGTCTTCCCTCTCACTTCTGTACCTGAGTGCTCACTTGCCTCCCCACGTAGTCCAATCTCAAGCATTCGCTGAATGGCTTCGTTGGGTTCAAACATGCACCTCGCTGACTCAGTGTGCATACACCTGATGTGGGGGTAGCTGCTTCTAAGGAATGTGCTTGTGCCATGATACCTAGACCTCTCTTGCTTTCACAGAAGTCCCTCTCTTGGCCCCTCTTGGTCACCCCAGTCTTACAACTGCCGTGCTTTTGCAAGACACTTCCTCCAGGGGAAGCCAGAGAGGGTAGTCCAGAAAATTAACATATCTCCTAGCAAGCCCACTGTCCCTCCTCCAATACAAAACATGTAAACTTAAAATATGAGACTACATGTGTATGTGGTCAGTAACTGGAGCTCAGAGCAGCTTTTATGTTTCACAGGTGGGAGGGAGAGCATCACTTTGCCATCTTAAAATCAGGAGATGCAAATGTATGTGATAGAATTCAACAAGGAGATTTTAGTACGTCAGATTCCCTAAGTGATAAACCCAAGATTACTGCTAAGGCTAATTTGTGAAGATTAAGTACTAGCTCTGTAAGGTGGACACATGGAAGAGGTACACTGATTGCCCCAAATAGATTTTATAGCTCAGTGTCAATGCTATCCTGGGGTCTAAATGTTTTTAATACTAACTCTGGCTCACAGAACAGTTCTTGGAATATAACTAGTGTTAGATAAATATTACTGTTATGATAATTATCATTATACCACTTTAATTTCAAGTATTAGGATAGTTCAAAATCCTTTGAATCATTTTTTAAAAGCAGAGTCCATAGGACAAAGATATTTCATACACATACTTTATGAAGAGACAGAAACCCTGATTTTTGAAATCTGCTAAAACTTAAAGTGTTACTGCTAAAGTATTAATGTGAAATCATTTTAAAGAATGAACTACTATAAGTTTTTAGAATGATTTATTTTCAAAAAACTTGGGCTATTTTAGCAAATAATCTATTTTATGCACAGAGAGATACTTCACCTTACAGATGGAGCAGTTGTTTCTGCTTACCAAGCTGTACACCACAGATTAGTGACAGACAGAGGACAGATTCTACCTCCTAATTTCCCAATCGAACCTTGAAAAAAAATGTCAGGAAAGAGAACAGCTGGTTGTACCCCCAAGGTACCTGTCCCTAGTTTAACACAGTGTTTTCTGCTCTTGGCCAATTGATTCATTTGGTTGAGGCAAAAAAAAGTTATAGTGTAAAAAAATGCATTTCCATCTCATTTTTCTGACTTTGTGGCCTTTTTAGTTCTAAATACTCATCACCAAGTACCTCCAAATAAGTATACCTGAAGCTGCTATTTCAGAGAGATCTTTAAAGCAGGAAACTGATAAATGTGTTTGATAAATGTGACGTACCATTTTCACGAAAGTTTTTAAGTGGAGGTGAAGTTCTACATTTCACTGACTCAGTAACCTGCAGTGTGCGGCTTTCTCCTTCTCTAATAAGGTGTCCCATAGGGAATAATATGCACTTGGCTCCAAGAAAACTAATTTAGTCTAGAAAAATAAAGTTCAGCTGCTGCTCTGCAGCACTTCTCATGGTGTAGTTCCATCTTGGACCATGCAAATTAGATGGAGGTCAGGCATGGAATTTCAGGGTAAAATGAGCCTTCCTTTCCATATAGCTCTCTTCGCAACTTACCAGCTCATGCATAGAGCTCTTGGAGAAAAGAAAGAGACATGACGATTGTTTTAGTTACTTTTCTTACTGCTGAGACAAATACCTGACACTCACAAGTTAAATGAGGAAAGGTTTGTTTCAGTTCACAGCTTGTAGAGGTTTCAGTTTATAGTCATCTGGCTCCAACGCAGGGAGGTATGGCAGAGGGGCATTGTAGAGGAGAAACTGCTCATGGTGTGCAAGGCAGGAGGCAGCACAGCAAGCAGCAGCAGCAGCAGCAGCAGCAGGAGCAAGCCTGCCTTCTTTCTGTCCCTTTATATTCCATAACCAAGGTGAGGCTTCCGTTATCTACAGCCTTAATCCCAGTACCACACCCGTAATGCACATTCACACTCCCTAAATCCAGCCACCTCTGAAATGCCCTGCCTATGCCCTCATGAGGCTTTGGGGGATGTGAAGGCATTGGTCAAAGATATGTATGAGCTGGATATGCAGAAATAGGGACTTATAGAACCACAAACCTGAAACCTCCTGGAGTGCATGATTAGTGATTAAAAGAGCTTACTGGGCCACAAGTCATAGTAGGATCAAATGCCTTGCCTTAAGGAGTAAATGTTCTGACCTTTGCCCCCGTACACACTCCTTCCTCATTTAAATCAGTCCCAAAGTCAAACATTTAACGACCATCCTCACCATCCCTTGTTTTTCCCCTGTCCCCTACATGAGTCGTGCCAGACACCTTTCTTTGTTCTTTGATCCTTGCTTCCTGATTCTATAAGAAGCCACAGAGGCTTTAGGTTGTTGCTCTATTTTGAGACTATCTCATACAGAGGGGTCTCTGTTCATGGCAGCCCCTCTGAGCCCTCTTGGGGTACAGATTGAAGAGACTCTGAGTAATCTTTCATCCTTTTGTGCCATGCCACGGTCCTGAACTGTGACAGAACATATCTAGATTCAAGCCATAACAATTATCCCAGGATAAGCTTTTGTCAAACTGCTAAATATCTGGGTTTCTTCCTTTTTCAGATGGGGGAGTCAAACGACGATATAGACCAAATGTTCAGCACTTTGCTGGGAGAGATGGACCTTCTAACCCAGGTAAGCTTCCCTTCTTAACCTGCAAATCAGGGCAAAATGGGATTCTAGAATTTGATTTTAGTATGACAAGAATGCTATCTTTTATAAAAACTGGGGTCTGACGATATTGCATATTCCTGATGTAACTGTGACAGTAGTGGGGTGGTAAAGTATTTTTCTGATTCTATCCTTCTGAATTCAGTGAATTTAATATGTTGGTCACACATACGCTTTGTTTTGACAATGCTCTTGCTTATTGTGTCCAATAGAAGAATTTTTACCAGATGCAAACCTTTATAACCACCACCATTGAGCAATCTTGCCCGTGGTTACCCTTTTAAAAACTAGCTGAGAAAATGCCATCTTCTTTAGTAAAGAATTTTTATCAACTTTTGAGGAAAGGTCATACTTTAAAGGTCTAAGTGGGGGTTAGTATGGCCTCCTGAATGGACTCAATCCCCTCAAAAATTACACTGCTACCTCACACCCTACATCTTAATGAGTTCCATGAATGAAAAATCTAAATACTGTATATGAGATACAAGGAGAAAAATGTATGAGAAACATTTATATAATCTTATAATCCCAAAATGTAATAGCTTTCCTAAGCAAGATATAAGACACATTTCATTCATTCTTAATTATGCAATATTTTTAAATATAAAATATTTTTATTTCTCCATAGCAAAAAGTAAATAAATTACAAGATCATAATATCAAAAATAAACAAAAACAAAACCTTACTATACAGGGTTGGGAATTACTACACAGGGTTGGGAATGTAGTTCAGTGGTAGAGCGCTTGTCTAGGAATGAGGTTTGAAGCTCTGAGTTTGATCCCCAGTATCACCAAAAAAAAAACCAAAAAACTAAAAACAAAACTTTCTTGATTGGTTACCATTGGAAATTGTCTGAGCATTAACATATTTCTGTGAAAAACTAATAAAGAAAGTCAAGCACTTATTTTAATTTCTCTGTAGTCCCAATCAAAGTGTATTTCAGAATAAATAATCTGTGGAAGAATTCCAGTTAATATATTGAAAATAAAGGAAAAATTAGAAAATCAAAATGATGCAAGATCTAATGAAGTGTATTTCAAGCATGTGACTTTTAATTAGGTTAGTAATAAAGGGAGTTGTCAAACTTTAGTCATTTGCCTTCCTGGTTTTGGCCATATCTACAACACGCTTGTCTTATCTTCTTAACATTTGTCTTTGAGTTCTTGAAAATTAAACCTCACCTCACATAGCTTTACTGTTCTATTTTAACTCTTTCCTCACAAACATTCAAATACATACACAATAATATGCATATTTAATACCTGTGCTTTTGAATGCCTCATGAAATCATTTCATAAGCCACACAAACTATATAGTGAGAAGCATTATATACTTCACTTCATCTTGGGCTTTTGAATAATTTTTCTATAATTAAAGGATCTCATTTATAAAATCAGTTTGCTCTTTCTTTGGTCCCTCTTTCCCTCCACTTACTAAAATCCTGTTTTATCATGAATTTAGACATTCATATTTTGTTAGAGAGCTACTTGTAATTTTACTAAGTAGCAGAGTAAATTATATTACTGAAAAAATTTATTGACTATTTAACCATGATATAGACTTTTTAGCTACAATATTTTTTAAAATTCATTGAATGCATTTGTTTTTGTACATTCTTTCACTAAATTTTTTGTTCTGGCATTTGCATCAGAATGTGTCTGTGAAACTCTCATTTTCTGAACAGTTTTTGCATGTTCATTTATTGTTTAAAATGAATTTTAAACCAGGCATAGTGGTACATGCCTATAATCCCAGCACTCAGGAGGCTGAGGTAGGAGGATTGCTGTGAGTCTGAGGTCAGACTGGGACTACAAAGTGAATTCAAGGCTGACCTGAACTACATAGCAAGAAGCTTTCTCAAGAAAAAACGAAAGAAAAAGAAAAAGAATTTTAAAGTTGCATTTTTCCCTACATTTTATATTTGGTTCTACCTTAATTGGGCTAGTTTTTCTAACTTCTTGATTAATGATCATTTTTTTTCTGCTAAAATTGATCATAGTTTATTTATTTTTAAATGTAGGGCCAAGGAGATAGCTCAGCAGCACAGCACTTGCCTGACAAGCTCAAGGTCCTGAGTTCAATTCCCACTACCAAAAAAAAAAAATTACAAATATTTTTAAATGTACAATGGTTTCCTCCAAAATTTTTTTAAATAGACAAAAATATTCTTTACCATATCAAATTAACATGAACGGATACATTCATAGTTATAAAACATTTATGCATGAGGACAGGTAAAATCACTTCTTACATTATAGACATAAAAATATTGGAAATTAATTTATAAATGTAATCTGACTTTTCAATCATGTGAGCCTCTTAGTTCCAAGTAAAATAATATTCATAACAATATTTTCAAAGTTGATCACTTCTTCTTTTGCTGAGAATTAAATCCAGAGCGTTATGCATGCTAGACAAGTACTCTACTCCTGAGCTACCCACCTAGTGCCGTGATTTCTTTTTTAACAAACATATTATTAGTAAAAGTAGCAGCATAACATTTTACTATACATTGGCAGATTACATCTTGAAACAGCTTTTCTCCTCAAGTGACTAGGTATTTCTTTCTTTGATGTCATTACTTAAGTCCTTTATAGAATTATATATAGTATATGTATTCAACATTATAAGAATTTTTTTCTTTTTTTAAAGTTATCCCTTTCTCATCATTCTCAATTGAAATGGTCCACGGCATGATGTTCCTTCTAGAATAATTTTTTAATATGTAATTTTCTGTAAGGGAAAAACAGTGTGAAACATTTTCAGCTGAGGTCTTTGTCTTTAAAGAACATATGTAGAGAGAAAATGTATAAAGAACAAATGGTCTTTGACTTGCTAATTCAAATGTGCTACAGAAATGTTGGCATCGTGAATAACACTTGGGCTGGGGTCTGTTTTCACAGAGTTTGGGAGTGGACACTCTTCCCCCTCCTGACCCTAATCCTCCCAGGGCTGAATTTAACTACAGTGTGGGTTTTAAGGATTTAAATGGTAAGTATGCTAATTTCTTTTCTTAATTCATTTGAATTTATAATGATGACTGAAATCTGTATGGGAAGTATAATTGGAATACTAGGGTAAAGAGACAAACACTAAGTCCTGGATTTCAGATTATGTCTTTTTGTGTCTAGATTGAAGGAAGAGAATTAGATATTTTTTCATGTACTGAAAGGGAATACTTCCTACATTTGTAAAAAAAGTCTCAAAACAATCTCTTATTTTGAAGTAAGAGCACTTTCTCCTTCTTACTAACAAGGAGTATTAAATACTAATAAGGAAATGTTCCTTTGGTGTAAAAAATGAACTCTCCATCATGATTGAAAATGTGTATATAGATACTTCAAATATAAAATACTTTATTTAAAAAATAGTATGTTCTAATTTATATGTAATACATACTTATATATCATTTGCTCTATTTGACATTTTTCATGCTCTCTGAGCTTGACTCATTTTACTAACAAAAATTTTTCTTGTTATTTAGTGCAGAAATAATCTTTAGCTCACGTGGTATTCAAATTATAATAAATCTTGAGTACTCACTTCCAAATTAATGAGAATTCACTGGAACTCTTAAAAAAGATTTGCCAAAGACTTGTGGTCCTACAAAAATGTAAAATAAAACAACATAAAAGAGAAGCCTAATTACAGAAATCCAGAGTTTTAAGTTCTATTTCTTTCCCTCACCTGAGTTTTCTATCATTTTCAGTAGTTTTTAGTTTTTGATAAGCCATTAGGTAGCAATGACTGTTTCCTGAGAAGTTATAATATGGCTCTTTTGAATTTCCCTTTTTCCTACATTCTTTTCTATCTGCCATCTAACATATTATTACCAGTCATCTGCCAAGTTTCAAAAAGGCGATAGTCTTTCCTAAAACCCGATGGCAAGAGTTAAAATATACCCACTCATAACAGACGGGTGCCATACTGAAAATTGGCCTGATTAAAACGTAATCAGCACTTCAGTACAGCTGCAGTCAAGTCAGTCAGTGCTTTCTAAGCTCTAATTTAGTGCCTCATATCAAAAAAATTACTGAAGATAGTAAGAACCAAAAACCCCCAAATATATGAAATTTCAATGTTATAGTACACTACCAAGAACCTCATCTCATTAAGGAGACAGGGTGCACACACATAGCCTAATTTGAGGATAAACCAAACCAATATAATACACATTATAAAACCAATATAATACATGTATACACAAAACTTAATTTTTTGAAAATTAGTGTTGAATACATTTTTTATTACCTTCCCTTTAAAATATTGCTAAAATGAGTTAAAAATATTTTACCCAAAGTCGGAGAATTAGTGACAGACTTCAGAATGGAATCTATTTCAATCTCATTCCCCAATTCAGTATTAATAAATGTGATGAACGTCTATCACTTAATCTATAATAATACACTTAGGTTTCTTTGTTAACATATCGATAAACAATATAATTTAACACATCAAATTGTCTTTGAAAAGTGTGAATACAAGTGTCATTGTGGAAATTTTGTCACTAAAATATAAGTAATGAATTAAAAGGTTTTCATGTTAACAGTCAAAATGTGATTATGTTAGGAAATTAGGAACAGGAGATTATGTTACAGTCTTACTTAACTTTTCTCTGAAAACATTTTAAGTTAATTTAATTTTACTTTATAAACAAGTTATATGTAAAATTGTCTTATAAAAAAATTAAATCTGATACAGCTAGATGCCCAAACGTGCGAGTGCCGTACACTAGAACTAGTAGTTCGGCTATAAGGTGCTCCGTGGTATGGATACTGCTCGGTGGTAGCAATGAAGCTTTCCCTTGTTACTGAAGAGACTTTCTCACTGCTGTGCACATTTTCTCATTCTGGCTCGTCCTGCACAGAGCAGCAAGAAAAACCTTCCTCAAGGGTCCCTTCTGCCCTGCCTACCGTCTTTTTGTCGCATTTACCAGCACCACTCCCAATGTGCCAGGCCGCCCTGTCGCCCCTCAGGGTCACGCACATGGTCTGCCACTGTGGTCTCACCTTTGGAAGAAATTCTAAGGTGAACTGACCTCCCTATATTTGAAAACCCATGTCTGCCTTATATTATAAAACCCATGTCTGCCCTATATCATAAAACCCATGTCTCAGGGGCTGGGGATTTAGCTCAGCGGCACAGCTCCTGCCTGGCAAGTGCAAGGTCCTGAGTTCGATTCCCGGTACTGGAAAAAAAAAACAAAAAAACAAACAAACAAAAAAACCCATGTCTGCCCTATATTATGAAACCCATGTCTGCCCTATATTATAAAACCCATGTCTGCCTTATATTATAAAAATTCATTTCCAACTCACTGTCTTCATAAAGTCTTTACCACTTAATCCCATTTAAACTTTTTTATTCCTTGACACTTTTACTGCTTTAATTGTTGTTATTTACCATTGACTGATCTTTCTTTGAATTGAGATCTCCTGTGTTTGGGTGGAGAGCCAACAGAAGCTCTATCTTCGCTCCAGAATCTTAAGTTGTATTAAATCCAGTTTATTGAAATCAACTTTCTTCCAAATACATTTATCAGCAGAACTTTGCACACTCAATACATGGGAAGAACTTCCCTCCCACCCATTTCCAGTGTCCACCCTGCTGCTTTTCTAAAATCAATATCTTAAGATATTGTACTAAAGGGCCAGGGTTATAGCTCAGTGGCATAAGCACCTGCCTGGCAAGCACAAGGTCCTGAGTTTGATTCCTGGTACCAAAAAAAAAAAGCAAAGAAAAGGAAAGATATTGCACTAAAATATTCAGGAATTCCCATGTAGGTGTCTATTCATGTGCTTAGATTTGACTTTACAGCTAGTTTCTAAGGTGCCTCTGTAGAACATATTTTCTCCTTTACTTCTGTTAGAAATTTACTCTCATTAAAGCCCTCATAAACTCAGCAATAATCATCTCAGAAATTCCTATACCGTATATGTTCTTCTGAATAAAAATATTTTCAACTTTGCTCATTATGTCACCAAAATCAAAATGATTTCCTTCTACACAAGTATAACTCTTTTAAACATCATCTTCTTTTAGTTTTTTTGCAGATGCTCATAGTTTTTTATTATTAATATGATTTTCTCCAACAGAGTCCTTAAATGCACTGGAGGACCAAGACTTAGATGCCCTCATGGCAGATCTGGTAGCAGACATAAGTCAAGCCGAGCAGCAGACAATCCAAGCACAGAAAGAGTTTTCTCAAAATCAAAATCATTCAGCATCTCTGGAGGCCTCAGATTGCAGTGGTGCTGCCTCTGTAGGTTATGGAGCAGATGTCACTGCAGTTAGCATCAGCCAATATGAGGATGAGTTACCACCTCCCCCAGATGACCCCATGTTAGACCTTCCACTGCCTCCACCACCTCCCGAACCTTTCTCTAAGGTAAGTACATGGGGCCAGAGATGATGGAAACATTGACCTCTGCCAGCCATCACTTGTAACCTTTGATATGGTAATTATGTTCAAGAGTTTGCATGCTCAAAGCTCTGAGATACTAAAAACAAGGATACCAAGGACACACCTTGCAAAGCCAGAGCCCTCTATAAACAAGAAGCATTAAGTGTTGTATTAGTCAATTTTCTGTTGCTATAACTGAATATCATAGACTGGGTAATGAACAAAAAACAGAAGAGGTCCAATACCATGGCATCAGCATCTTCTCAGAGTCTGGTGAGGGCCTTATGCTACATCCTAGCATAGCAGAGGAAATCACATGGTGAGACAGAGCAAAAATTTGCATGATAATTCAGTAATCCTTAAACAGGATAACCTATTCATTAGGGAAGAGTCCTCGTGACCCACTTGTCCCTTAAAGGTTCCACATAGTCCTGCCTTTTAATACCACTCAAAGGAAGTTAAATTTCAACATGGCTTTTGGGGAGCACATTCAAACCATAACAGGAATGTACAGAGAACATATCAATATTTAGTGTTTATCATGGCTTAGTTTAAAAAGATATTCATATGTATACACACTCTCTGATACTGTCAATCTTTGGGGGAAATATTTTATTAACTTTGAATGATATCTGGAACTAATACATGTATTTATATGTCCCTGGTCCTAGCCCAGCATATGAATAGTAAAAGGTATTCATTACATAGTCTGTGAATTTAACTAAATTGAATTTTGAGGCTTTGGCGGTCCTGTTTAGGGGACAAAAACAGATCTAAGTATCACTCATAATGTCCTAGTTCAGAAGGATTTTAGAAGGCAGATATGTAATGAGTGCTTGATATTCATACATTTCTGATCTCTGGAGAACAAACAATTGGAAACCTTATACTGCTGTTATTTGGGACGTTAATTCATACTATGTCTCTCATAGATGTACATAGAGCACTTTCGAGGATTTTTGTTAGAGTGAACCGCTTAAAAATATTTTAAAGAATCCATCTCAGTCTCCTGTGGCTGCCAAATTTGAAGTACTGAGTGATGATACTCAGTATTCACAACAGTGACCCTAGTCACCTTAGAAATTCCTTCAGTGTCACTGGAATGAAGAAATTTTAAATATAAATCAAGTAATAAATCAAATGCTATCACACACATTGCTGTGCTGTGTGCTTATTATGGAAAATTTATTTGAAAATCTGTGATTAATGTAGAGCAAAGGCTCTTAAAATAGGACCCATGAAGATTACAAGAAGAGGGCTAGGAATATAACTCAATGGCCCAAGCGCCTGCCTGGCAAGCGCAAGGTCCTGAGTTCAATTCCCAGTGCCAAAAAAAAGATTTCAAGAAGGCTATGGATTCCCTGAAAATAAATACAAAGTTGAACTCACTTATAAAACTTTATAGAACTCCTCACTTTCAATGTAATTCTTTTTTTTTTTTTTTTTTTTTTTTTGGTTTTTCTCCAGTACCAGGAACCGAACTCACGACCTTGCTCTTGCCAGGCAGGCGCTTTTGCCGCTGAGCTAAATCCCCAGCCCCCTCAATATAATTCTTTTTGGGTATTTTGTTGGGTTTTTTGTTGTTGTTGTTGTTGTTGTTGTTTTTTTTTCCGATACAGGGAACCAAACTCACGTCCTTGTGCTTGCCAGGGAGGCGCTGTGCCACTGAGCTAAATCCCCAGCCTCCTCAATATAATTCTTTAAGAAGTTTGTGGCTAGAAAAAATAAATTAAGAACCACTGATATAAGAAGATGTATGTCTACTTCCATGAATTAGTATGTAGCCAGAGCAGCTCATTTTCTCCTCATTATAAAAGAGGACAGCCTTCACAATCCTGTTCTCAGAATACTAGCTTATAAAAACCAAAGGAACCTGGGCTCATAAAATACTTCACTCTTTTTCTGACTGCTCATGTGTGTGTTCATCAGTGCTTTTTTGGTAATTTATAAGTTTGAGTTTGAGTCCAGATCTTAACTTTTGGGGAGTAAAAGACCTTTTTAAAGAATCTAAAAAAACCTAGGAATCCCCCCAAAAGGCATTCTAATCCAAGTATGCATATAATTTTAGGAAGTGCTCAAATCCCCTGAGATGGATCCTCTTACACTCCGTAGGTTGATGCCCCTACTTTATGAGCCAAGCAGAGATTTTTTTTGCATGTGGTCTAAATCTATGAAGACATATTACAGTTATCATTTAGTTTGTCTTGTATGTCAGAGTTGTCTTGTATGTAAGGCTCACTGCTTTCTGTACCTTTGGGTTAAAGATTTTGGTTGTAACCATTTAGATTCTCAAAATCCAATGTGAAACTGGGTACCTTTTGTCACCATCACGTGACTAAGACAATAGCAACAGGCGTAATCACTGAGCGGTGTCACTGCATGGACTGTGCTGACTGTCTTGCATTGTACAGGAAGAAGAAGAGGCCCAAGCCAAGGCTGATAAGATTAAGCTAGCGCTGGAGAAGCTGAAGGAGGCCAAGGTTAAGAAGGTAAAAAACCGCAGCTCGCTTAAGAGGGGTGTAAACTGATGATATCTCAGAATTAAAGATAAAATTAAAATTTGAGGTGGTGCTTCTCAAACAGTTGTCTTTTTTTTTCATTCCAAAGATGAAGGTAAATTATACTATTTTTCTGTTCTATAATTTCACTTAGCTCATTTATGATCAGTGAATAAGGGACCTACATTAGTATAAAAATGGAAGTTTCTTTAACTTCTACATGATCTCTTCTTGGCTGTCTTGAGTTTTTCTGGAGGCTGGAATAATGGGAGTAGAACAATCCTCCTGCCTCAGCCTCCTGAGTGCTGGAAATACAGGCATGTGCTACCACACCGGGTTTTAGAATTTTCTTGAATTTTTAAATATTTATTTTTATTAATACAGGTTACCGGCTGGGGATATAGTTCAGAGGCACAGTACCTGCCTGGAAAGTGCAAGGTCCTAAGTTTGATTCCCAGTACCAAAAAAAAGAGGATTTTCTAATGCATATTTGCAGTACATAATGATTACATTCATTGTAGGGAGTTGGTACATGTATGTAATACCTTTCAGTTCTTTTTTCATGCCTTAGAATTTACTTTTTTAATTAATTAAATTTATTGGTGCACCCTAGGTATACACAGTGATCACATTCACTATAGGGAAGTTGAGCCTGTACATGATAAACTTGATTCATTTTTTCCCCATTCCCCTACCCTCCCTCAACGCCTCTTCCCCTCCTTACTTACAAAAGCTTTGTTTCCATTTTTTCCTGCTTTTCTTGCTTTTTTTTTCCTTTTTTTTTCTTGCTTTTTTTTTCCTTTCCCTCTCTTCTTTTTCCTCCCCCTCCCCATCTCGTTCCCTTTCCTATTTGGACATTTTCTGCCTATCCCACAGTGTCTATTATACATTTTGGTCCTTATTTACACTTTTGGTTTCTCACACCAGAGAAACAGTGAGGTATTTACACATGTATATCCAGTTTATTTCATCTTAAGCTCCATCCATAAATGTCTCTAGTTTATCCTTCTTTATGGCAGAGTAGTACTTCATCGTACTTGTACAATGTACATTGTACTTCTCCAGCAAAGTTTCTAGTCAAATGAACATGTCAAAAGAAGTAGTTTCTTGTTCTGAGTTCAGTTTTAGCAAGGGAGACAAGAAGAAGTAGCAGCGAGTGCTCTGGTCACTCTTTTCAATGGGTTTGGTGATGGTGAAGCCCTCTGAGGAGGTGGTTCTTGAGCAAAGACCTCAATGGCTGGAAGCGGCTGGCTCCATGCAGGTTGGTGGAGTACCCCAGCAGAGAGGAGCAGTGCAAGATGCATGAGCCTGATGAGTGGGAGGAAGCAAAGGCAGTGCGGCCCTGGTACTATGAGCCAGCGAGTAAAAGAAAAGGAAGGAGTTGAGGTCAGAGAGACGGCTGGGAGCCGCAGATCTCACAGCAGGAGGAAAGGATTCGACTGTATCCTAAGTACAATGGAATACATGAGGGTGAGGGTTTTAATAGGGGCCTGAGAGGCTGATTACAGGGGTTGTAAACATCAGACTGGCTGATCTATGGAGGGTGAGTTGTAGGAACTGGGGATGCCAGCAGGAAGACCTGTTCTAAAACCCTCTGTCACACAAAACATGACACACGGGTGGGTGTGTATTTGCAGAGTCTCAAATAGATGACAGGTGATGCTGGGCGGTGCAGTCCCTGATTTACCTGTGGAGGCAGAAAAGCAAAAAAAAAGAGTAGACACAGAATTCACCAACTATCTCAGACACAAGATTATTTATAAATGAGGCCACACTGCACATATTTTGAGAAGAGAAATAAAAAGAGATGTCATTTCATACACAAAGAGGTAGGACAGGGAGCAGGTTCAGTTGGTCTGCTCCAGCTGGCCCGTCAGAGAACGGGACAAGGCAGCTACCTCCTGCCATCCATCAGAAAGTGAGAGAACCTGGCCACGTTTCATTCAGATGAATTATAACAGTAAATGCAAAGCACAGTCTGTCTGCTTTGATGCGATGAAGAAGATGTAAAATATAAGCCACTTTGATCAAGGGGGAAGGAAAGAAAATTACCCAAATGAGTTATGTCTTCTGATTTTAGACACTCCAAATGTACTTTTTAAGACTACAACCTGTCCATGGCACAGAACGTTAACAAAATAACAGAGACACTCAGACATTAAGAAAGTAGCTGTGAGGGTGTCACACATAATCTACAACGTGTTTTTAAGGACTCAGAATCCAGTCTATCTGAAGCACTTTGCCCCAAGTGTCTCAAGAGTGTTGAAATCCTTTTGAATTATGAATAATGTACATCTCTAGAGCTGCAAAGCTTTTCAAACTAAAAACATTGTCACATTCATTCATTCATTTTATCTGTTTGTTTTAAAGGTCTGTGACACAGGAGACAATGCCATTTGTTAATCTTATTATAGAAGCCAAAAAAGGCAGTGCAAATGGTTTGGGGTTAGGATTGTTTTGCATTTAATAGCTTGCAAATGAAAAATAAGAAAAAAATGTAAAATTATAAAATTTTTACTGTAATGGATTAGAAAGATGAAGTTTTTAATTATTGAGTTATTTTGTCCCCACAATATCATGTATACATGGAAAGTACTTAGCTTTCACATAAAGCTTATAATAAAACTATTATTTCACATAAATGAAATACTAGTTCATAATCATTTAATAAAATTACTATCTCATGCTGTTTTGTCTTGGATAGAGCTATTTTTCAACTTGCAAATGTGAGAGAAGCTGTGAAGAATTGTAGGGCCAGGGATATAGCTCAGTGGTACAGCGCCTGCCTGGCAAGTGTGAGGTCCTAAGTTTGATTCTTGGTACCAAAAAACAAAAAGAATTGTAAATATGACTTCTTTCTTTAAAAGTCACCAGCCTTCCCAGCACTCGGGAGGCTGAGGCAAGAGGATCATTACGAGTTCAAGACCAGCCTGGGCTACAAAGTGAGCTCAAGGCCAGCCTGAATGCATAGCGAGACCCTGTCTCAAAAAAACAAAACAACAACAACAAAAAAAAGTCACCTGCCTTCTCTTGGTTTTTGTGTTATCTAAATTCTATAATTGTGGATATTTATCAGTACATATGGATCAAATCTAACTTATGAGTCCTGCCAAAAAGAAATATTCCATTGTTGTGAAATGATGTGGCTTATTATTTCTTTGATCTCTTTAAAAATGAAAACATATGTTTTATTCTCTTAAGAATTCCTCAGCAGGAATGAAATGTGGTCAAACATCATTAATTTTTTCACCAGGAAAAGTAAGTTTTCTAAGCCCAATCACTGGTAACATTTCCTAGGACATATAGCTACTTTACAGCTATAACTCTCAGTTGAAAGCACAAAGTATACCTTCCACAGAAAAATAAATCATGATAAAGACTGGCATGGGGGGAATTTCAGTGTATCTGAGCAACCTTTCGTGTCTATTCCTAAGGTCGGATGAATGCATCTTTGATGTTGTGGTACTTGGGCCTGTCATTTTAAATATATCAAAAGGTAAAGACATATGGAAAAGGTAACATTCCGAGTACAGGTTTCTGGGCTACAGGTTTTCAAGGGAAAAAGATATTTATCAGGCAGAGCTAGAAGAAGAGTCTAATTTGATGGATCTCTGGGGAGGACATGTTTACTGTCCCAACATCTACATTTTGATTTTGGGATTGTGCCTATGTTGGGAAGAGGAGGGCTGGGTGAGTGCTTTGATTTGTCGTCATTGCCAGGGACCTCACTGAGATTTTCATCACCAGACACATCCTTCTCCAGCTGTCAGTAGCTCTGCATAGCAACTGTCAGAAGGGTATTGCTCATTCTGTTAACCGGAGCGCTGTCAGGATCATTTTGTTAGGAATGGGTCAGGGAGCTTCTCAGGACCTAACCCAAACTTTTGGAAAGGAAGCAAATCCATTACTATGCTGGAACACTTTTTAGGAAGTCTCCCTGGAAGATAACCAGGACCAACACTCAGCAACGATGCCAGTAACGCATAGGTACTACTGAAGGTGCAAACTCTAGCTTCATGACTTCATGAGTTAATTTTGTTAGACGTTGAATTCATGACCTGTGTGTGAGATCAGCAGTTTTAACAACTTTAACACATTGCCTAGAAAGGCCAGTGCTACCTTGTGTCCTTACCGAAGAAAAGTAAATTCTGCTCCAGATTTGATAACCGCCAATGTGATTGTGAATTCACCCCTTAGATCTTTTAGTGGAATAAAATATAAATGAGGTGCTTCGTTTGCCTGCGTGCCTCCAGAGCAGCGCGGTTGTCAGTCTGCATTCTTTTCCCTTAAAGTCTACCTCTGACCTCTGCTCTGTTGTCCACAGCCAGCGTCAGCTGTGAGGCCCCTCGGGCACACTGGACTGTGTCTGGTGTGCTCTGCACATCCTCAAAGCACTGTAGCTGAACCACCTTGGTCTTACCTGGTGTCTTCACACTCTTTGGCAACATGAAAGAAAACCCCAACCCCTGCTAAGACACTGGAGTGGCATTCAATTTAGAAAAGTGACTGGCCTCCAGGATGCAGGAAGGATGTTGGGAAAGTAAAACATCAGCACTTCTTTGGTTCTGTTTGTTTTCTGTCTCCCCCATCAGAATGCAGTCTCTGGGGAGAGGAAGAACTTGGTTTATTGTTTGCTTTCTGTGAATCCTTTTGTCCACCGTTGTGTTCCTGGAATACAAGTGGGTGACCTACAAGTGCACTTATGCTGATGCACTCGCAGGACACACTCTTACTCACATTTGTGAAAAGAGTAGCAGCGTTGAAACCTCCTGGCCTTCTCCGGGAGCTGAGACTCACTGGTTGTTGTGTGGCTTTACCCCCAGCTCGTGGTCAAGGTGCACATGAATGATAACAGCACGAAGTCACTGATGGTGGATGAGCGACAGCTGGCCCGAGATGTTCTGGACAATCTTTTTGAAAAAACTCATTGTGACTGCAATGTGGACTGGTGTCTTTATGAAATATACCCAGAACTACAGATTGGTAAGTCCCTTGGCCAGCAATTTGGGCCGCACTCCCAAAGCCTGTGGGTTTGCTCTCTGAGAGCCTTTGGTCTGTCCAGGGTCCTCTACACATCTGTGTGTCACTGTCCTTGTGAGGTAAGTATTTATCTCTCCACTTCTTTGTGATAGAGACGTTCAGATTGTAGCAGATGGCTGAACCGTCAGGGGTATGAGCATTATAATTGCCACTTTGTTAGTGGCTCCATAGGGGGCGGAAAAAGTGACAAGGTGATTCCTCTTACTGTTTGCTCAGTAGGCTGAGAAGATTGTGGGAGAGCCCTAGTATCCTCAGCTAATGTCCCTTTAGAGGTTGCCTCAGTAAGGTGTAATGTGACTCCGTCACAGGTCTCACACCTGTGCTCATTCGGCTTCCTCCCTGTCCGCTTGCCTAATCCCTGGCAGTGAGTAGTGGAAAAGGCGCTGCCCCAAAACAAAGGACTGTGGTAGAAATGGATGTAGATTTTGGTTTTTTCCCAGTACCAGGAATCGAACTTATGACCTCGCACTTGCCAGCCAGGTGCTGTGCCGCTGAGCTAAATCCCCAGCCCCTGGATGTAGATTTTGGTTTGGGTTTTGGTTTGGGTTTTGCAGTACTGGGGGTTGAACCTAGGGCCTTCATACTGAGCTGCATCACCAGCCCTATCATTATTATTATTATTATTATTAATTATTATTATTATTATTAAGACAGAATCTCATTAAGACACTAACTTGCCCAAAGGTGCAATTGAGAGCTCAAACTCTCAATTCTCCAGCATCAACTCCCTAGAGTGCTGGGATTGCAGGGTGCACCACCAAGCCTGACTGCAGAGGTTTTTCTTCTTTGGGTTTTTAAAGCAATTTAAGAAATTTTCTTTTACTTTTCATGCTTAGTAGCACTCCCAGGACCATTGTCTCCCAGGAGTGCTGAGCAGGACCCAAAATTACCTGCCTTAAAAGCTGCAAGGGAAAATTTATTTTTCTGCAAGAAATAGTCTACACTAAAACAGCCACTTGAAGTTTTCTCCAGTTCTATCAATAGAAGAGAGAAAGGAAAGTTTTTCTTTATGTTTTTAAGCTTGGTTCAGATATTTGTACATCGTAGAGTCTCGAAGTGAGATGTTTAAAACTATAAATGGTGGGTCTCACAGGTTTATTCAACCTATGTGACCAGTCATTGCAGTATTGTCCTCCTCACAAGGGAATGTTTCCCTTCATTTGGGGCTATTTAAATTTTAAAGTGCTAATATTTTTTAAGAAGCATGACAGCATTGTCACTATATTATAGGCTCTGCCACCTGTAACATCTTTTATGGAAGGTAAATTGAAACCCTGACACTGAAAGATAAATTGAGTAGGGATACTACAAATGACATGGTATAAGAATTAAGAGTTTTAGAAACCTTGATGAACAGTATGAACCATTGGTGGTGTTTTACTCAATGAAAGCTTCTTTCGCAGTTGAAAACCCTAATGTCCTAGGTCTGAAAGAGCACTTTTTCTTACTTTATCAGAGAGGTTTTTTGAAGATCATGAAAATGTTGTTGAAGTCTTATCAGACTGGACAAGAGACACAGAAAATAAAGTACTCTTTTTGGAGAAAGAGGAAAAATATGCTGTATTTAAAAACCCCCAGGTAAGATGAGTTGTATATTGCTAAACCATGACAAGTATTGAGGATGTTTTTCAGTGTCACTTGTACTGATCATACCATATCTCACAAAATGTCATAGATGTGTTCCTTTCAAACAAACACAAACCTGCCACGTGTAGTGGTACATGGCTGTACTCCCAACACTCAGAGGTGAAGCAGGAGGATCACCCTGAGTTGGAGGCCAGCCTGGGCTACCGAGTGAGACACTGTCTCAAAAAGACAACAAAATAAAATAAAATAAATTTTAAAGAGTCAAACACAAACTCAACTCCAGCTGTATGTAAGCAAAGAACACTGAGATGCTTAAAGGATTTAGAAAGAAAGTATCCATTTGTTTCTTTTCATTTAGAACCCAAAACTCAGCTATCTGTTGTTGTCTGATCTCCCTCTTCTGTCCGCGTTTCTGCTAGGCCCAATTAACACTTTCTACCTCAGTGCCCTGGTGGTTGTTCATGTTTCCTATGACAAAGACGCTGTTTTCTTTGTTGTTCATATTTAGTGTTTATCAATGCTGACAGTACCTGGAATATGTGCAAGTGCACGCATGTGTGTGCATGTACAAGTGTGTGTGTGTGGCACTAGGGATCTAACTCAGGACCTCACACATGCTGTGCAGAGTGCTCTATTACTGAGCTATACTCGCAGCCATGTTTTATTTTGCCCAGGATGGCCTCAAACCTGTGATCCTCCTGCCTCATTCTTCTGTGTAGCTGGGATTACAGGCCTGTACCAGCACATGCAGCTTGGTAAATACTGTACAACCTATTGTGATTTCATATTGCAAACAGTCTACACAGCGAAAGGATTGTTCTCCATATCTGAAAATGTTTTCTTCAAGTTATAGATACAAGGGTCATCTAGACCTCTTTCCATTTTATAAGTTTATAAAAGAAAGCTCTACATTACTAAGGGGCAGAATTAGGAGATTCAAGAAAAGCAGCCTTATAGGAAAATACTCTTTCCCCTGAACTATGCTATTTTCTGTAGTCTTCTGTAGGTTGTAGAGTGGCCAACTGACAAAACAAATACTACTGTTGATGACAAATATCAAACACTACAGGTACCAAGTATTCAACTTCTATAATTGCCTTCAATACCGTGCTCTTAATGCCTGTACTAATGAGTGTATCCTCTGCTCTAACAAAGAGACCCCCTAAGTCAATGACTCAAATAACCTAGAAGCTTGTGTCTCTCACATCCCAGTCCATAAGTAGGTGGGCATCACTAGCAGAATGGCTCAGCCACTCTCAATACTTGACCTCCACATCTGGGCCCAAGACAACTTCTCCACCTGGCCATTTTCTAGTCCGTAGGAAGTCAGCAAAGAGCCAGGGGAGCACACACCCAGACTTCCGTTAAGCCCCATTGGCCAGAACCTAGTTACAGGGTGACATTGAGCTGTAAGAGAAGCTGATAAACGTGGTACCTGTGTGAACCATCAGTTACACAGCTGAAATCGAGATGGTCACATTCAGGACCACCATTCTGCATAACTCGTACACAAAGACCTTTTCTACTGAGTCCATAAAAATGGGACCCAGGAATCGTGCAGCACAAACGATTGCATAAGTAAGACAAGGAAGGGGAGTGGGGATCTGAAGTTTGCCATGTTGTCTAATGACTTGGTGCATGTCTCATAACTACACTGTCTGAATGTTTACAAACTGAGTGTGCTGTGTAACCCATGTTAAGACAAAGCACTCATGGAGCTTCTCGTACCCTTCCCCAGTTGTTACTCCTGACTGCACAGACAAGCACTACTCTGATCTTTATTACTCTCATTGCCTCCTTTCGAATTTAACATGAAATGGAATCATAACATAGTTCTCCTTTGTGTGTAGCTTTTTCTCCTCCACTCAGCTTTCAATGCACGCTGTTGCCTAGAGCAGTGGCGCATTCTTTTTCACTGCCATTTAGTTGCCCATGGTGTGGCTGTATGATAACATATTTATTCATCGTGTTGTTGATGGACATTCGATTTGGTTCTACTTTTGAGTTTAAACAACTAATGCTGAGAGAAATATTTTGTACTTGTCTTTTGTGGGAGACCTGGGAGATACTTCTTTTGCCTCTATACCTAGGAGTGCAATTTCTGGATCATGGTTTAGGCTTCTGCTTAGCAGACAAACAGAAACTCTATAGTTGTTCTCTCCCCTGAGCACTGTATGAAACTTCCTGCTGTTCAGATCCTTGGTGGCGTTTGGTGGATCTTTTTGTTTTGTTTTTAACTCTAACCTTGCTATGAGTCTGTAGCGCCATCTCCTACAGCTTTAAACTGAATTTTCTCTATGTCAATAATTTCAGCACCTTTTCAAATGTCTTTTATGCATTTGTGAAGTCCTTTGCCAGTCTCTCGCCTGAAGTTAAATATCGACAGATGCCCTGAGGGGAAACAAGGAGGTGTGGATGCCTCTTGCAGCTCCTTTTTCTCTTGGATCTTGATCTGCTGAGTCTTCCTTGAATTCTCTTTGATCTTGATCTGTTGAGACCTCTGTTGCCTCAGACAGCTGTGTTTCAATCTAGCTTGTCCAGCAGTTTCGGTGGCACTTTGGTCTACTACAAGCTTCTCTATTATTAAGGGGAAGCAGAAACCATCTTAATGAATTCTTTCAATAATGTGTTCTTAAAAACCAAGTGACTAAAGTCTCCTACTCTGCAATTCAATTTAAAAGCCAAAATTGAAGTGGGGGCGTTTTTTAAGAAGTCATGTTTTCCTAGGGTTTGTCTGGCTGATCTGTCCTATGACCGGTGCTCCACACAGATAGTCACAGCGTTGGCAATGATGCCAGGGCGGAGTGCACCATGCCATTTCCCCGGCTGCTGTCACGCTCCTGAAAAGGGGGCTTGGTGATGCTGAAATGCCTGAAACCCCCTTGTAAAGGTCCTGTCAGAGACCCACGGATGGTTTTTTCACATAAGATTTATTTGTTTTTGTTAGGTTGGCAACAAAAGAATAGACACCCAAGAGAAAAGTATTTCCAGAGAGACATGTTTATACAAACACCATCTGGAAATTCATTCATGGAATTGCCTTTGATTTTCTCTTCAGGCAGTGTCTCAAGAAATTAATCCAAAGGTCCCAATAATTTTGCCTTTCATTTAGGTTAGCAATTCTTCATAAAATCTAGTTGCCAACAGAGGCGTGGAGTGATGAATCCTGGAATTAGGTGAACATAGCAGTTAGCTTTGCCTCAAAACTTAGGTCTATGTCTGTGGCCATACAGGCTTGAGCCTTCTGCCTGACTTATCCAAACCAGGGTGCTGCCTAGGAAATACTTGAAGAGCTCACTGGAAACTGACTTGCATGAAGAACTGGATTTAACCAGAATAAAAGGAAAAAGACAGATTCTAAGCGATGCATTTAGTCAAGTCTCCACCAGAGTTTTCAGCATGTTGAATGTCTTTCCAGTGTTAATGTGCATGAGGAAACTTTATTGGAATTCACTCCAACAAGCATTTGCTTGAGTTTCACAAACATGTATGAAATATCTGTTACATGCATAGCCTTGCGCTATCTGTGGAGGATACATAGATTAAGATGGTCTCTGCCCTTAAGCATTTTATAATCTGGTTGGAGAAAAAGACATGTGCAAAAATAATTGAAGCATAAGCCAGGCATAGTGGTACATACAGGTGGTGGTACATACCTGTAATCTCAGCACTCAGGTCGCTGAGGCAGGAGGATCACCACAAGTTTGAGGCCAGCCTGGCCTACATAGAGAGTTCAAGGCCAGCCTGGCCTACATAGAGAGTTCAAGGCCAGCCTGAACTACATAGCAAGACCTTGTTTCAAAAAAAATTAGATAAATAAATAAATAAGTGACGCATAATGTCCATCTTTAAGATGGGAGTCATGTAGGGTAGAGATTACAGCATGGTTCAGAAGAGTCTTAGTAATGGTCTACACTAGGAATTGTAGTTTTTCAGTTACTACAGCAGTTGCTGATACAAAGATCAGTGTGAGGAAGAGCTCAGCTCAGTAGAACAGTGGAGCTGTGAACAGGGCAATCAATTCACTGTCCAGCCATAACCCTAAGGGAAAAAAATCTCCACTGCACAAATGCCCGGGACCGTGTTGGGACATGGGATGCCCTCTAAGGGCCAGTGTGCTGGGAGCTTGATCTTCAGCGCCGTGATGTTGGGAGGTGGAATGTTGAAGAGGTCAAGTGTAGTGGAAGGACCTTGGCTCAGTAGAGGGCACTGCCCTGAATGGGCTTAGGGAGGCCTCATGGGGCCCTGGGTTAGTTCTTGTAAGGGGGTTGTAGACACCGAGCAAGCCCTGCAGCTCTCTGTGCCCACCGTTTTGTGATGTGGTCCCTGCCTCCTGCTGCTGCGATTTACCATGAGGTCCTCACCAGAGTCTGGCTGATGCCAGTGTCTTGCCCTGGAATCTGCAGAACTGCAATCTAAATAAACCCCTTTTCTTCATAAGTAGCTTGCCTCAGGCATTTCAGCATAGTAACAGACACTCATGCAGAGTGAAGAGCATGCAAACCACTTTGCAGACACTGGCAGTTTGAAGATCAGTGAAGGGGAAAAGCCAGCCACGTGTTTATGACAAAGTACCCCCAGATGTGAAGGGAAGTAGTATCTGAAAGAGCCAATGGAAGCATGTGTATATGAATGAACCTAAGAATCCAGAGGAAATTTGGAGGGCATGGTTATCTTCAGGAGAAGACAGTAAGATATGGTCCAAAGAAACCAGAAGCAGAAAAGGCAAGAAAACAAGAGTGAGAGGAAATGGCATGTGGAGGAAAAGAAGGGAAATGGGGAATGAGAGTTGGGTTTACAAAGTGTTTGATGGGGGAAAGCACCAGCTGCTGCAGGACTTAACCCTAGAATCTCAGAGGGCTCGGGGAAGCTGATTCAGAGAAAGCGGTGCCAGGGCCTCCTCTGCAAGACGGGTGGGACTTTGCCAGGTGAGGAGCAGCATGGAAGCCAGCATTCTAGGCAGAGGAAGTGTGCATAATCTGATAGGCAAG